GACTATTAAATAAAAGTGACTATTAAATAAAAACATCGCAAGTACAATAAAAGTGTCTTTTATTAAAAATATTTATAATTCGTTTGTACAAATAACACATATTTTATATCATATACAGTAATGTTATCAACGTAATGCTAAAATCGTATACAAATATTCCAAATCGTTTAGAAAGGTCTCCATAAAATACGTGTGTTAGGATAGACAGTTACATAATGATTACGAAAATATACAGAACCAGTCTCCAAATTCCTCCACGGTCTCCAAGATCTAAAAGGATTTTTAGCATTATGGAGAGGTTCTAAATGCGAACCTAAAATTTGTTTTAAAATAGACACGTTCTGTTCTGCTTTTTCTTCCGATGTGGTAGTTAAAATTAACGGACAGTGTCTAATCCGTGATAAAAATATGCTTCGCGAACATGTCCACTCATTATTAAAATCTGCTTGAAATTCTATAATTACATCTGGTCTTTTAAACGACGGACCGGCTACATACATATGGTAAAATGTACTATAAATTTCAACATGAAGCTTTGTAAATCTGTGCTTGCAGAGAGAACAAAGTTCTATGTCATAATAATCCTGCTCAAAATTTGGTCCTACTAGTATAATTGTTAGATCCCTTATGTAACGCGTGAGATGTATAAATATTTCCTAAGCATTTACATGCTCCTTTTCTAAGGAATTTAGTGCTACCACGTGAATAACGCATTTAAATTCATGTATTGTACGTGCGGAAGAAATGAGTGGTTCTAGTAAACCAGCATTCTCCATTCCATAATATAATGTTAGCGGTCCTGATACATAATCACTGCAGAAATATTTATAATATATTTCAACTATACTGGTGTATCGTACGGAACGATGCCCATATATTGTAATAAATGTATTCATGTCATTAAAAGGCATTCTTCGATTAATAAGATTAGTGAATTTTAACCCAGTGAATTTGTGTGCACTAGTCACGATATTAGTGTTGATATATAATACAAACTGTTGGCATTTTTGCTCATGCAAATCTTGAAATAACTGTACATGGTCAATGCAAAAATATTCCGAATAACACGTTCTACAGTGTTCCAAATTAATCTGTCTATGACAAATAGAGCATGATTTTGCAAAAAGAATCATCTGTTCTTCATACGGCTTTAGCTTACGTGGAATCCATTTTTTAATTGAGCTTAGAAATTGTTGTCTTAACGTGATCCAATTAGTTAAACTTAAAGCACAGTCTCGACGTATTTCATTCTCTCGTAAAAATCGGTTTATATATCCACAAATCTGCACATGTTGTGGACGATGCAATAATCTGTGTTCACGAGTGCAATAAGAGATCATATCGCACAGATTACATGATATAAAAGATCCATTGTTTAGTTTCTTGCAGACGTGGCAAATGTTTTGGTGAAAGAAGCTATTATAATTATTAATAATAATAAGTGCACCGAAATCATTCACATCGATTACTTTAGAAAAATCACTCATGGTGGGATATTTTTTTGACGTATGATATCAATTTAAAAATGAAATGTGTTGCTTCTTGTAATAGAAATAATGTAGTTGTCTGTCCACAGCA